GTGTCGACCGTTGCGCCGCTTGCTTTAGCTTCAATTTCGTAGATTGGCTTTGCAGTAATTTGTGACCTGGAGACCGCTTTAGGTAATGCATTCTCAGACGGACTCATCAGCACACATAGCTCTCTTTTCTCAATAGCATGTCGCAGACAGTTAAAATGCATACTTCTCCGCATGCGAATAGAAGGCCAAGTGGGCGTGCCCTACCTCTTTACCTCTGAGAAAGTGGCTGGAGAATGACCAACCCTCAAACCCTTCCAAAGAAAATTGTCCAGGTGACCCTGAGGCACCTACCATTTATTCTAAAACCCAACGAAAGTTTTCATCGAAATTGACTTAGGCACAACGCTCATAATTTCAGTTTTGAGCGCAAACACATGCAGATCCGAGACGAAAACGCGACATGGATGCTGCTGCTGGTGTTTGTGGTGGTGATGGTGGTGGTCGTGAGGAGGAGGAGGAGGAAGAGGCGGAGGAAGAAGAGGAGGAGCCTATAGAAGGCTAGAAAATGGCAGTAGTTGTATGCATACAAAGGGTATTGAAAATATTCGCCTGAGTGTGGGACACGTCATTTTGATTGTCTGATGCCCAGTTATTTTTAACGGCGTAGAAGTCAGTGGGTTGAATCAAGTTGGCCTTCTTGGCTACTTGAAGCACTCACACTCCTTACGATGGCGACTATTTGTTATGACTGGAGGCATAAGATGTTAGCTGTCACCTGAAAACATATGTTTTAGAAGGGAATCTAAATAATAAAAAACGAAATAACGTATATATCTGCAGTCGCTTGTCAGTCAAGCCAGGACTACATAAGACGTGTCAGTACACAATCGCCAAACTCCCCCGACTGGCAGGTTCAGGCCAAAATACCACCTTAACAGCAACCGTACAAGGAGTCTAAACGGAGAATTCTGTGGGTTGGCAGTCACAACATGCACTTAAATGTTAGTTTACTTCATTCATTATGAGGTGTTGGTGTAGATTTTTCGATAGGGGAGGCAGTAAGGCTGAGTTATATGGCCGCCTACACAAGACACGGGAACGAGAACCGCCCATAGCACATGTTGTTTTGTGCCAACGTCCGGGGAACTAAGGTTTAGGACTAAGGTGAGGATGCGGGTTGAGTTTAGGGTTGGGGTTATTCAGTATTATTATTAGGAGGTTTTGGCAGATTTGAATAATTCAGTTGACCCAGTCGTGAAGAATTCGCGGCCTCGGTGGGTGAC